ATCATGAGGAAGTAGGGTAGGTCATTGCTACAGTAGAATCATGAGGAAGTATGGTATCCACTTTAGCAATGACCCTCATGAGGAAGTAGGGTATCTACTGTAGCAATGACCACCATGAGGAAGTAGGGTATACACTGTAGCAATCAAAAAATTTCATATTATCATTAGCTAAAGTGTTGCCTATAGTTTAACAGTCAATCCCGCTATTCCGTTAATTAATTAGCTCTTCAGGCGGCGGGTGCTGTCGACTGGTTGCCATTTTCTTGCCTGATAATTGCTTTATAATATTCAGTTCCAAGTTGTTAAAATAAGATTCTTTTTGAGTATTCCTTTCTATATTAATCAAAGTTGGTTATATACACATATATATGTCTCCCAAAACGGAGACCTAAAAATTGACAAAAGTTTCTGGGCGTATTGGAGTAAGGTATATGCCCTCGAAGTTTCAAGACGAGTTGCCCAGAAAGGACGGAGTGGCGTACAAGATGAGAAATGCAATGTCTCCCTCTCTATAAACCCTCACCCCCAGTGGCACAGCGGCATGTCTGCGGACTTACAACGCTAGAAACCGGGTTTCGATACCCGTGATGGGCAGAACTCAGATACCTCTTTGTGTAACTTTGTGCTTAACTTGAAACAAGCGTATATATAGATATATATTGAGGTCGAATATAACATTATCAACTATATACAAAATTTTCTTGGAACGCTTATCTTATAATTATTTCAAAACTGAAACGTACATTAACACATTTCTGAACAAAGATTTAAAAAAGTATTAAAATGTTTGATTTGAACTTTCAGATAATCCTAGAAACAGCAGACAAAAATATAAAGATCAGCGACAGAAAACCAATATTTACACACACACATACACAAAATAAAGGTGATGTGAAAGAAGCACGTGAATAACAACACATATTAATGTTACTTTATGTTTAATCGATTCTCTCCTAACCGGTACGAATGAGAGTTACTTCCCCTTGGATAAATAAATGAGTTACTTCCCCTTGGATAAATAAATGAGAGTTACTTCCACCCATCGTTCAAGCTAAGGAATTGATTGTCACTCTTATAACACACCCACAGCTTCGAAGGAGGTCTAGCGCAGGCCTAACCCGCGTCCCTTATTACAAAATAATAAAAAACAAAGCAAAAATAATACTTTGTTAGTTTAATAGTAAGTGAATTTCATGGTACGCCAAAAGCTTTTCTTTGTTATACAGCGTACTCTCTTTATTATACACCCCCCACCCCCCAGCGTGTTTTGGTAGTTATTCACTCTCTATAATTTCAGAATTCCATATACATTCACAGTGTGTGTGTGTGTGTGTGTGTTAGTATGTATGTATATACTTAGACCCGAAGGTTCTTGTCACAGGAAAGAGGGAAGGGGGCGCTCGAGTTGGAGGGGGGGCTCTGCCTCTTCTTCCAAATACTGTTATATTTATAAAGGTGTACATTTAACAATTTTTCCATTAATTTTTTTTACCCTGTGGGTCAGTAACTAACAATGCTAAAATCCATGGTTCAGTTCTCCGCACTAGACACAGTGCAGATAGCTCACCGTGTAAATTTGCACAAAGAAAACAACAACAGCCATTAAATTAATAGTAAACATTTTACACTTTGACATTTTATTTATTTTTAAAATGTAATAACAAGATAAAGTAGAAGTTTTTCAAGTTGATATATTTTTTTTTAACGCCAGGAGACAAGAACGAGACAGAAATATTTATGACAAAACCCTTTTTTTTTATTCGGGACGAATCATATCCCAAGACACTCCTAAAAGCTGGGCGTGTAGCCTATTGACATTTATTTCACATTTATACACTGACTGTAATATCGAATTTTTTTTCATGCTGTACAGAAACACCGAGGGCAACAAATTCAGCACATAATCTTTAACTGAAGAAATCACTCTGTTACATAACATTAATTTATTTCAGCCCTCACAGGCCCATCAATATATTGAACGTACATGATTCAATTTCAGGAAATGGTTGTTACGAATCAATTTCACTGTACACTGATTTTTTTTTAAACCACTAAGAAAATTACAATTATATTTAGCAGTCACGCTTCCTGTACTTATCACCTTTGTTCTTTTATCGTATTTAAGGTTTCTTCTAAATGTCTCATTCCCTTAAAATGCTTTTTTTTTTCTAGGCTTAACGCTTTCTTTGCTATTTAAATCCAATAAAACACGCTGTTTAAAATCCTTATCGTAAAAACGTTTACTCCCAATATGGATCCTGAACTGAAACATTAAGTTATTTTTTAACATTTCAAAACAAATAGAATTCCAATTCCATACTCCAAACTTTCTGAAATAAAATTAACGAATTTTCGTGTTCTGTGACCAAGCCTTCGCATAAACATGGTTTTGTACCATTTGTAAAGAACAAAAAACAGATATGTCGATTTTTACTAAAATCCGAGAAAGAAACAAAACTTGAGAGGTTAAATTATTACAGAGACATTTTTGTTCGATTATCATATACAGTTCTCGAATGTTTTATTTTTAAACCTAGTGAAAAAATTTAAAACATTTTTGTGTTGTGATATTTACTATTTTCAACTTTAATACGTTAGCTACATAAGTCGAAATGTATCGTTTACTAGCTCCTGTGCCTAAGGACTTATAACACTAAAATTTCGGTTTCGATACCAGCGTTATGCATAACACCAAACAAACAATACCATCCTACTGCCATATACAGATGTTAGATAACTAGTGGTCTTTGGTTACGTGATGACGTTAAAACAAAATCGAACCTGCATTGACCCTGCCTTGTTACTGACCGTAGATGTTTAATATATTTGAAATTATGTTGAATTATTAAGCGAAGTAAATAAACTGTATTAAATCATAACATTTTATTCTTAAACGAAACGTTCTGCAGTTAAACTTGCGCATAAAAAGCGCTCAAATTAACCGTTACTGTGGATTTGTCTTTAAGTCAATCTAAAACATTCCAGAATACTTCAAAATGTCCATCACAGATTAAGGCCTATATTTTTTATATACATATCAAAACGTGAGCTGAATTCCATTCTCTTTTTGGCATGAACCTACCTCCACAATGAAAAGCACGCGAAGTACACATTTCAAAACAGAGATGTAAAACAAGAAAGTAAAAAAAAAGATCCTGTATAAACTAAATATTTTTGAAATCATTATAAACGTTTACATTTTTTTTTACGTAGACATAACAGCGTATAGAATAATCTAAATTTCTGTTCAGTTTTTAACTAAGGTTTCAAGTAATCCAAAGAAATTCCTTCAACATTGTTATTCAGTATTGTAACATATTGCTCTGCATATATGTTTGACTACGTCATAATATCATAGATACCAGTCCAAGTATCTGACAGTTATTTTTAGCTTAGATAATGTTTTTTTTTACTATACCAAAACAAAATTTTCTATAATTTGTAAGACACTGTGTTTGGCTGCAAATTACTTATGATAATATTGAGAAAAAGGCTCCAGAGAAACGGGCACTCTATAAGTAATTTAAAAGAAGGTATAATATAGATATTTTTTAACTTAAGTTAAAAACTCATACGTTTGTCGTTTTTTTTATGTCTTGTGTTTAAGATTAGCATTAAATATTAATTGGTTCTGAGGTCACAAGAATAACAATATAATCTTAACTGAAATATATTGTAGCTTTATAAAAAAAAAGTCGCTTCTTTTATTACATTATTATAAAATAATCCATGGAAAAACATTCTATTATTTCGGTTGATAAAAAAAAGGGTTAACAAGAAAAACGTTGTTTTAGCTTTCTTAAAATCGAATGTTTACGGACTTTCAAAAAACATTTTATTCTTTCGGTTAATAAAAAAAGGGTTAACAAGAAAAACGTTGTTTTAGCTTTCTTAAAATCGAATGTTTACGGACTTTCAAAAAACATTTTATTCTTTCGGTTAATAAAAAAAGGGTTAACAAGAAAAACGTTGTTTTAGCTTTCTTAAAACCGAATGTTTACGGACTTTCAAAAAACATTTTCCTTTCTTACTTCAATTTAATTGTCCGAAAATTATACAAAGTTCGACTTATTACAGACTCTGACCACTTTCTTAAAGTTTCCAATGGTAAGATAATAAACCAATATAAAAATTGTCAATACATGTACGAAAAAAATATTGTTACTTTACCCAAAGTTTCGAGATTATTTTTTAATCCTTAATTTTGTTCAGATATTTTTTATGAAAAGAATTAACATTCAAAATGAGTTTGATCACCTTTAAAAACGTGCAATTTTCAAAACTGATAAGAAGCTCATTTAATGGTGTTGATCAGTTTTCGTTCTTAAACTTTTGGCAAAAGAAATTGCTCAATTACACAGCCTTACTGGCCAGGTAATTCGTCTATTTAAAGACATCTGACTATGTATCTTAGACACAACTTTTTATGTATGACATTGTCATTTTTCAGCAGAAGATTCAAGTTTTTGCGTCCAGATTTCGCTGCTTTCTATCCGCCAATCAGTGAAGCTAAAACAGCAACTGCTTAAGATGAAACGACCAACTTCCGAAGACCAGGTTCAATCCAACTATAGGATAAGCTCTATTCGTGGATGAATACTACTTCCGGAAGTCCCATTTTTATCAATGGAACGTATTTTATTCGTTTGAAGCATCATCATCATCATCTTCATCTTCAGCATGAGAATAAGATTCTCAAAAGTTTAAAATGAAAAAAAAATGAAACAAGCAATAAACAAAACAATGATAGGTAGTAAACGAAAAAAACAAACAAATTTGTCAAACAAACCGTCGTAGTTTTGAGATATGGCACAAAAAGTTTTGTTATGCTTCTGTTCTGATGTCTCGAACTGAAGTTGGTGCATGTTACTGTATTTTATTTTTGTTTATCTGTTTGTTTGTTTTTTCTTCTTGTATGTATGTGTACAGCCACATTTATCCCAACCAGTAACAAAACATTGGAGCAAAACGTTTGTACATGCACGTACAGATGTGGATACACATGTGCCGGAAGTTAGGCTTAGCTTTTCAAGTGCACCCACTAGAGATGGTGATGATCATTTCTTCCCTGCAAGTCGAAAAACAGAAAACAAATATATATATATATATATTATAATGTGATTAAAGTTACAACGCTACAACATAAATATATGGAAAATAAATTATTTTCCAAGAACCAACAATTAACATATGACTCAGTATGTTCATCACTATTGTTGTACACATCCTATTCTGATCGTTTTCTGAAATAACATAACCCTAATGTGTTGTTAAATGTTTATACGTGATGCTTATAAACCTTTAGAATATTTTGTCAGAGGAAAAAAAACACGATGCTTATACAGCATTAGTGGATCTAAAAAAAGTACCTATAATTGTTCCACATAAAATGTATAAAATGTTCCCAAACAATGTTTGGATTTTCAATATAGCACCTGTGGAAGTTCAAATCGTCGAAATATATTTAAACTTTACTTCCAAGCCTGTAATTGTTTATTCACTTCAAAGGTAGTCATACAAATATTACAATATAAAATGCTCTAGACCAGCTCGCTGCCTCCCTAAACTGTCGTGGACCACTAAAATGCAAGTACAATGGAAAACAATTACGATTTACATATGAATATTCTGTAAGTTTATGTTTGGTTTCGTGAAAATGCTACGGACCGACGTTTGGTCCGCGGCCCGGTGGTGGAGAAACACTTCTCAAGACACAACGATATCACGTGACTAGGACGACAACAGACATATTAGTAATAAATACATATATATATATATATATATATATATTTAGTGATAATAAAATTGAACATTAAGCATGAAACGAGTTGCCGTGATTTATAAAATATTTTTGTTTTTCTTTTCAAACAGAAAAAAAACTACTGTGGTTTTATTTCTTCCGGAACTAACTTGAATACATAAAATTGTGAAAGAATCTGAAAAATACTGTTTTATGACATGCAGTTAGGTGGAGGTTTTATTGAAACACCAACAAGAAGTAATTATTTTGCTAAGCCACACACTGTAATAATGGATCCTTCATAAGACATTTTTTACATTGAAATTCCTAAAAATTAGAACCAACATAACAGATCCTTTGCCTCTGAGACCTGAATCTGAAGTTCAGATTATACTCTGATGTCAGAGTTGTAATCTAAGTTAATTTATATATGACGTCATTCCATGAATTTAAACAATTACTCGCAACTTAAGAAAAAAAAAGTGATTTCGAGTGATTGAATGTTAACCAAGACCTGTAACACAATTGTTTCATACTTATAGAAGTATAACATTGCTTTGCCACTTTTATTTTTATAATACTAACACACCAGCAGAAAAACAACAAATCTATGTTAAGTAACACATTTTTTTTTTCACATAAAGAATCATATTTTTCACTAAACGAAAAGAAAAAAAAGCAACTAAATGTTAACTTCTCTAGGGGACTGAACATCATTTGTTCTACATTGTTTGAGTTTTATTTGTTTATTAAACGATTATATTAGTTTTTTATTTTATCGTAATAACGTAAAGGCTTTATAGTATGGGAGTAGATTACAAAGATTACTTAAAAAAACAATTACCATTTGCAGCGAAATTTACATTTTAAAGATGAAAAATTTTAAATCATACATTATAAATCACTTCTTCTGAAAAACACATAACACTAAAACAGCACGAGATGACGTCATATCACAAGTACACATTTTTCATTTAACATACTACACGAGCTTTGTATCTCACTATGATTGGAGTGTTAAAACACGCGCACTTGAGATACCCCTTCGCCTACTCTGCCTGACCCTCATGCATACTCTCCCACCCCCAGTTCTTATCAGATCCATCACCACACATACAGCATGCAAGAATAAAGTAATGATTGTCATACATTTCATCCATATTGAACTTGATGGACACCTGGCTCGTACAGGCTAGCTGCAGCCAACCCATCCGACATTCCAGCTGGTTGGTTGAAAATGTGCCTCTGAGATTGGGCCTGAGGGAGAGAAAACAGCCCTCAACTGTAGAAGGCGACCATTTTCGTTTTGTTTTTAAATTATAGTACATTCTTGTATCAAATATAATAAGTTTTTCCTGATAAACAAGAGACAAAGATAACAGAGAGAATATCAATAAGAGATCACGTTTAAAAGTTTTAAATAGGCGAAATTCATGCATGTTTTAATGGTTCCTTCCCACCAGGCAGAGCAGATACAGACATGCTGTTAACGAAACAAAGAAAAAAAAACAACAACTGATAAATGTAATAAAAAATAACAACTTGTCAATTTGAGCTGGACTAAAATTTCAATTAATGTTTGTCTACAGAAGGATTTGATGACACGCCGAATGTAGAATATTAATATAATCAATTGTGACTGTAAATTTTATACAAGTTCACCAATTCTAAGCCTAAGACAAATCGTGTGTAATGCATTATAACCTCATTAATTTCTCATGGATGAATCGTGTACAGAGTATTCGGTTTGTATCCTCATGATCGAGACATAAAAACAGATTAAAGTCCTCAAGGTCAAATCTTATCTTCGAAACGTACTTAATCCCAGTATAAACTAACATAATCAGCATGCAGTACCTGTCGTTTTTACTTCCATTCTTCTAATAATTAGATTTATTAGAATCTTAGAAATTGGAACCATGCAACAAACTTACATTAACGACTGTGTAATAAAAGTAGATTAAAACCAGATTTTACTGAAGCGTTGCATATTGCATTGTATAAATGAATGTAAAAAACTAACAGAAGATGACTGAAATGGTACCTAGTCATTTACATGTTAAGAAGTTTAGAAACTGTAGGGTTTATGTTTCGTTCGTTTCAACAAGATTGTACTTTGATAGAGTTACGAGTTAAAATTGAGTCGTGAGTTAATCGGGTGGTACTAATTTTTTGTATATACACTGTTTGAATGGTATCAATAAGTGCACTCAACTGGTGTTTAAGGTGCTACCTACATTACTAGCACCATTAGAATCAACATGGTGCTTTATGGGGTTACCTGTATCACTAACACTATTACAATCAACATGGTGCTTCAGAGGATTATATATATATATTACTAACACTATTACAATCGACATGGTTCTTCAGGGGGTTACCTAACTTACTAACACTATTACAATCAACATGGTGCTTTATGGGGTTACCTGTATCACTAACACTATTACAATCAACATGGTGCTTCAGGGGGTTACCTGTATCACTAACACTATTACAATCAACATGGTGCTTCAGAGGATTATATATATATTACTAACACTATTACAATCGACATGGTGCTTCAGGGGGTTACCTGTATCACTAACATTATTACAATCAACATGGTGCTTCAGAGGATTATATATATATATTACTAACACTATTACAATCGACATGGTTCTTCAGGGGGTTACCTGTATCACTAACACTATTACAATCAAAATGGTGCTTCAGAGGATTATATATATATTACTAACACTATTACAATCGCCATGATGCTTCAGGGGGTTAT